TTTCTTTCTCTCTCTCTCTCTTTCTTTCTTTCTTTCTTTCTCGCTCTCTCTCTTTCTTTATTTTTTCCTTTCTTTCTTTCTATTTATCCTCCTCTTCCATTCTTTAATGCTTCTTCTTTTCCCTGTAATTCTGTTTTCTTGCTTCATTCTTTCTCTATTTATCGTCCTTCATCTGACAAACAGTGTTTTCCAAAAATCTTAAATCATTGTTTCACACACCAAGATTAATTAAAAACTAAAGTTATTCATTGTTTGGTCTTTGTATCAAATATTTTTAATATCAGCAATTCATGTCTCCCAGCATGTCTTCATAACCTACTGGCAGTTTGTTATAACAATATATGTTTATATTGATCTGTTTGTTTGGAGGAGATCTTAACATCACTAAATGATGCATTTCCGAAAGACCGATGGAAGAGCGGCATGGACTAGACCTGGATGTACGATGATGGACACAGATAAAAAGGAAATTAAGTTTGAAAGGATGAATGGCTGTATAAAAATTATCATCATGAGCAGCAGCGCCAGCAATATAGCAGCATCAGCAACCTCATGACCACGACAATTAAGTAAAAATATATGCTAAAGAAAATTAATGAATTGGAATAGTAAAAATGATGATGATGGTGACGATGGCGATGATGATGATGGTGGTGATGATAATACGTTACAAAAATATGATGAAATTAAAGACGTGATAATAATAATAATGATGGTGATGATAATAATTAGGGGGAAAAACATTTAAAATAAGATTATGATAATGATAATGATGATCATAATAAGAAATAATAACGACAAAAACTGTTTATTCACGAGAGGTTGTATATAGAAATCCATGTTGAAAATGAAAAAAATATGCTAAGAAAAAAACACTTCACAATCAAATTTGTGGAGATAACTAGCTAAAAACTAGTGTAAGCTGCGTCGGTGTTTCTAATGAAACAGTAATGATAAAAAGGTAAATTATACACCGTGAAAAGATGAAAAAACGTACTAAAATCAAATTTGTGAAGAAGAGAGCGAAAGAATATATGCCGAAAGCCGCTTATGACAAACGTAGTCTAGAATAAAAACTAGTTTAAAAAATGCTTTGTCTAGATATTTCTTATCATTTTGAAAATAAATCTACCTGATTCCCTTATTTTCGTTATCACTTGACATTAAAAAGGCAATATAATCGACCAAAAGTAAGTCCATTTGAATTCAATAGACACCATAATCACTTTTCTACGGTAAGTACAACCTAAAAAAAAATTGAAAAATATACCCCGAACACCAAATATCAGAGTCTATTAACGTGATTGTTTCTTGAAACATTTGTATCTATGAAACATAAATATTTGAAAAAAAAGAATTAGTTGAGCTGTATGTTGTCCCGTGTATGGCTATAATAAATTTAGTCCCGCAGGGGGGACAATAAAAAATAAATAAATAAGCTGTGGAACGAATATTGAATGATTCTTAATTGCGATGTTTTTTTTAAGGTCCTTTTTTGTTTCCCGCTAGAAAATGGATAATTTTATGCCTTCATTCTCATCTTTCGTTTTTCTTTCGTTTCCTATTTACTCTTATTCTTTTGATTAAAATATTTTGAACGTGCCTTGATGAGAGCTTTAATCCAGAGAAACGAGGATAAAGCAGTTCATTAAAGCTTTGCATTGTTATTCTTATTCATTGGGAAACACGATTTTACTCTATTTGTCTCGCTGGATAATTTTCGATTTATTATGACACCTTTGCAGGGACACAAAACTAAAGTAAGAGTTATCTCGATTCTTTGATCCTTTTTTGCCTCGATAAATATCTTGATCCTTCAAAAGCATCTGGAAGTTAAATTTAAAATGATTATTCATCGTAATGCCCTACTTATTTCTTTAACATTTTCGAGAATTGTTTTGAGAGAGGTTATCAAGACTTTCCTGACATATCAGGATTTGCATGTCATTAAGCCCCTTCGACATTGTTTTTTTGTTTTGCCATCAGGAAGCGATTTAGAGAATCCTTGTGATAACAACTATTCGGTTCTTAGTTATCAATTTTACTTATTCATTCTCAATAAAAATGTCTTTTTCCCCCGCTTGGAAATAAATTGGATTGAAGTAATGAAATGTAGTCGTATACAAAGATAACAGATTGAGAAAAAGGCTGATATATTTGTTCGTATAACAGACCGCTAGATTTGATATCAGGCTTTTAAAAATACTAAAATAACTCTTAATTGCTTATAGCAAGGCATCAACAGTCTTATCTGAGAATAACTGGATTATATTCCGTGGTCCGCCTTATAAACGTTTGTACTATTTGTACATCTTTGCCATGCCAAGTACAGTCGTTATATTGAAAAAAAAACTTGAATATGTCGTGTTGAATCTTATTTACTAATGTGTGGAGCACTTGGATGCAGTGAAGCCCTCGAAATTCAACCCAAATGTGCATATGAAACCAAGTGATGGCTTTTCAGCCTTATGTAAATTGTATAGTGTTTGGAGTTATATAACATCTGTGTATTGTGATACGAAATGTGAAGTTTTAATCCATTCTATGAGACTTAATAATTTTTTTAAATTTTTTTAAATTTTTTGAAAGAGAGAAAAGCCAAATGTGCTTTCACAACTAAGTGGTGGGTTGTAGCTCTACATAAACAAAGCGTTCACCATCTGTTAAATGAAATCTCAGAGACAGAACACAAATTGAAGAAACAAATATAAATCCAAAGTCTTGATTGGAGTGTTGATATTCATTTTTAGTTTTATCTGGTAGAATGTAAGTTAATGAATGAAAAGGGCCGGTCTCCAGTTTTGTTTCATCTTGTCTCTTGATAAACCAATTTTCGACATTTATCAACACAACCAAAAACGTAACACGGAAGCGAATTTGGATGAAAAAAGAAAAGGAAAGGAAAAGATACAAAAAAAGAGGAAAGAATGAGCAATTTCAATTATGTTTGTAATCTAAGAATCTACAGCCAAGGAAAAAGAAATGCATCCAGTTCATCAACATTTATTTCACCTGTACATAATGTTTTACAGCATATGACAAAGACAACCTTTCATCTTCCTTAAATGATGTGTATAATGAGCTGTAAATTAATTTGCTTTTAAAACTGCACGGACTTTAATATGCCTTAATTTTGTCAGAAGAAACAGCTTAAGACTATGGCTTGAAAACATAGAATAGACATACAGTTATAATTACAAGGGTCTGCAAATGTAAATGAAGATTGCAGACCATTCACATCTAGATGCTAAGTAACACAGTTTCTATTTACACTTTTTACGTTTTATAGTCATGAGTTTGTTGTCGTATCAACGAATCGTTTTCAATTTCCACTGATTCTGTACGGTTATTTTGAAGCAATAAAGTATGTATATTGAGTTCTCGTTTTTCCCTAGCAGAGTTCGGTATTTAGTTTTACTGTGTCAAAACGATCGGTGTGACTTTTGGAGTTGTTGGCTTTAAACTTTAGCGATGGCGTCGTATCCATTGCCGCCTTGGTAGTTGGTTGTGAATTGGGTAGTTGCTGGGTAGGACTCCGATTGGGCAAACTGATTAGCACGTCGTCGATGATGATCTTTAGAGCATCTCAGTCCCATAATGAGAAAATTCCTCAAGTTTTTCGTCAAACAGATGAAAATCAGAGGGTTGATTGCGGCAATGATCTCAGGAAGATTTGAAACAAAGTACTCGGCTGTGGGAGACTCGACAACTCTACAGTCATAGCACATGACTTCGTAGACGGTGATTGCATAGAAGAAATTCCAGATGAACAGGAAAGGCACTGCCAGGATGAAAATGTTGAGGGAAATTTTGAGTTGTTTTCGCAGAGTTGATGCCTTGGAAAGAGGATCAGAGAGCTGATTTGCTGGGGCACCATGCTGGAGATGTAGCATGGCAATAAGAAAAATTCGAACATAACAGTAAGCAGAGATGACAAAAGGAATAAAGAAGTTAAAAAGAAAGAGAGCAGATATGTAGATTTTCATATACAATTGGCCGATAGTTTTGTCAAGTGTTCCCAGCAACAAGCTTGCGGTTATCGTGGCGTATACCCACACTGCAATGATCACCGTCAAAGCTCGACGATGCGTCATCGTGGATCCATAGTGCAAGGCTCTTGTGACGGCGTAGTAGCGATCATAGCTCACGACTCCTAGACTCACGACCGATGCAGAACCAAAGAGAATTTCTAGGATATGTGCAAGTTTTACAACAGGCGCAATATCTATACATAACAGGTACAAGCCAATCCAGACTACCCATTGTATGACGAGAAGAAAGCTCGCAACGGCAAGATTGACTACAAAGTAGTTTGTCACTGTTCGAAGTTTGCGACGCGTCGCAAAAGCTACGCAGATAAAACCATTTCCTGCCAATGCCAAAACCAAAATCAGAGCGGCCATGGTGTAGTGTAGAGCACCGTATCCATCGCGGCTACACTTCGAATCCAATCCGTTTGCCGTCTCATTGGTGAAATTAGACGGCAAAACCACGGCGGTTGTCTGAGGTGAAGTGGGAAGAGACATGACCTCAAATTGTCATCTAAAGCTTACCGTATTCCGAGACAATTTTACCTTTGTGCGATCGCACGACAGTGGTCAGTTCTGATAGCGAAGGTCCTTCGTTGTCGTCTCCGGCGGCACGTCTTGTCTTGATTCTGGCAGGTGACTTTCAGATCAATCAGGTGTAAAAAACGAAATTTCGAAAACAGATCTGTTGTCGGATTTGTTTGTCTTTTTTCTGTGTTATGTTGATAGGTTTCGGCTTGAGCGTATTTTTTCCTAGCGAATTTTCCCGGTTTTCCGCAACATCTGGATGAAATTTAAGGATAAAGGGAATCGAGTTTTCGCTAATAACTGATAGACACCAGCCAGTGGTCCTGAGATGATGGCAAAAGATCTATCCAACAGGACAGTGGGTGCTTCGCTGAGTCAGTCGCCTAATGGAGACTGAACTCTGTCGATGTAGAATGAGGATTCTTCCAGGTTGACCTAGGGGTTCTATTAATATAGCAACTTGACAGACCCTTATCGCCAAGAGGTGACAGTCATAGTGGTTGGTTTGTGGAAATAGCGAGCTTATTTGTATAGCACAGCAGGTGCGGCTTTTATGACCAGTTCCCTTCGTTTGCATACAATGAGCTCTAAGCCGGTTAAAAGTCAATAACGCGGCATGCGCACTACTCAAAATGACATCTCCTCAAGTCATACTTATTTGAAATGCATCATCTTCTGAGCCCACTGTTGGAGTCGAGAGAGTGTTAGCGATATCTGCGTCAAACAGCTCCCACGTCCAATTGCGAAATAGTACTATTCTTCTAGAAGCACCAAATTCGTCGATTTGAGCACTTGCCAACAATTATTAATAAAGCGAAAAAAGACCTTCCTATTGGTAATCTCCACGACCAAAATTTGCCATTCACGTAATACAAAGCTGATGCCCAATTGATGTTAATCCTGATTATTTGCATTGTATTTATTTATTTCGAAAGAGTCGAAAAGCGCTGCTTTTATCGAGGTTTCAGTCCACTTTCCGTTGAATAATCACACTTAAAAAAGGACACCCCGAGAGGAATACCATAATGTAATAAATTATGTATTTTTTTCTGCTTATTTTCTCAGTTTCCCTAAAACCCAGGAGACTTTCCGCTCTCAAACAGAGTCGCTTTACGATACGTGATAAAGAACTAAAAGATTTACTCTAGTCGGTAGTCTGTGTAGATATAAAACGGTAATGCATCTCTACGGGAGTATGAAAAATACACGTCAACGTTTTCATGGTGTTTGTAAACGTCCATTGAAGAAAAGAGCAGATGTAAGGGAAAGAAATGAAGCCGTAGGCATTTTAATCACCTATCTGCTAATCAGAAGGACGACTTCAAAACCCCTTTTTAGCTGCAATGCAATATAATAAAACGCGCAATTGTTTGAACGTTTGCGATAATATTGTTACAAATTAATGGGTTTTGGCCAACCAAATATCAACAACCGAAATACGCGCAAGTACTTGACTCACATGCAATTGGCAGATAAATCTAATAATTGCTCCAAGTTGTTATTGCTTTGGGGACTTGAAGATAGAATTGATGGGCCTTAGAAATCAAACAGGCCAAACAGGATCTATATTTCTCTCTTTCTCTGCCCTTATTCTCGTTCTGTATCTTTGTCTTCTTGTATATACTGTCGAGCACGAAAATTATGGAGGACTGAATATCAACTTAATTCATTTCACTGCGGCTTACATATATACACATATAATATACACATATAAATATATACACTTCTGTATAAAAAAAATCTGCGCTATATGTATACACACACACACATTACTGGCAAGAAATTGGTTTTGTAAACGATAAAAGTCAATGAGATACGTTGGGAAAATATAAAATATAATCAACGATTACATAACAAAAGCTCGTGCAATAATATTTCATGTTGTTATGTTCCTAAGTTTTATGTGATCATTCGAGGGCTATGATAGACAACCATTTAATTTATCCAGACCTGAGTACATAAAGTGATTTGGTGTTATATTCTCTATTTGCAGTTCGGCCTAACACCATTGGTACCGGCCGTTGTCAGCTTCTCATTAGGCCTGCTTTCCAATTTCACAAAATTGGTCAATCAATCAACCTAAACCCTACGGCGATGACAAAATGTTCCTTTATTAACGCTGCATCGCTTATTTCTTAACCCTAGACGGTTATTGTTCCAAAGTCTATCACGTAGGGGTTTTGGTTCCTAAAAATCAGAATGTTTTATTCGAGAAACGTGTTAATGAGCGATGACACAAGAGACTTTTCGTTCGTTTTTTGTTATTAATGCATACAGACTATGCAAACACAGCCGTTAATGCTAGCCAAGTAAATGGCATCTACTTCAATCTATTAAATAGATCGCAAACAAGTTTTCGAGGAACCGTTTATTTAACGTCCAAAGATTAATATCTAGGTTTTGTTTTCCCCCCTTATATTTCTTAATTTCCTTTTAAATAGCAACTAAAAATCCATGAAGTTTGTTTTATTTCCTTAGTCTTTTGTTATAATATCGTAGATAGAATTTAACATAAAAAAAACCGATTGCGATCCATGAATGGCTTTTCTAGTCATATTGTTAAAATAATCACTGCTAGTTAATTTTCAGGTTCGTCTTTATTTTGAGGCGGAAATGGGAATTTTGGGATTCAAACAATTTTACATCCTCATTTATTGGATGTTTATCTCTTTCTTTTTTCTTTTTCTTTTTTCTTTTCTTTCTTTTTTGCGGTTTCATCGACAAGTGCGCATTATTAAATTTTGACTTCTTTTGCAAAATCTCGTGTTTTTTTTGGCTTTTTTTCCTGCGGATTTATGGTTCTTACTAAGACCCTACCATCCCCCTCCTCCCAACGTCCCCCTTAGATTTTGCTTTTCTTATAAAATTAAACGTTCGTCATAACAGTGCTCGTAACTCGTAATCGAAAATATTGCTCATGTACGAATTGCTGTTTCGAAATGATGATGATGATAATGATGATGATGGTGGTGGTGGTGGTGGTGATGATGATGATGACGATGATTGTGATTATGATAATAATGATCCACAATAATAATAACTATAATCATGATAATACATTTGGTTTCTGAAAAAATAATCTTGACTTGCAATTTGAATTTCCACAGTAAAGTAAAACTAAAACTAAGAGATCCATGTTATATGGTTGAAGGCTTAGAATAAAACTACAGCTTGACTCCCACTCCTGATTAAGTATTAAGAAACCTTTTGAAGCCTTAATTAAGCATGACTGGTAATCGCACTCGTTGGGTATTATCCTCGGTAGATTTTCCTCAAGAGTCCCTAGGTTCTGAATAAGTTGGAACTGAACCCATTCATGATTGTTGACTTTTGTAAGTTTGCAGTGTTCTGACTTAACTCAGTGTTGCAGGGTTCGATAAAAATAAGGGTTTATTTTTGGATTTTTTGACAACATGTGTTAAAAATATGTGAAAATGTCACAATTTTCTAATGTCCTAACCCTAAGGACAATTGTTGCAATTATCAATGAACACCTCCTCGATTTGTGGCAATACTCTATATTGAATATTGATCGATACCTTACCAATTGCAACCCACCTCAAAATCCCAATCCCCCGAAAGTTCACTATAAAATGATTATTATTATTATTATTAACTATTTGCTTTTTTTTAATACTCTGGCACAGCAGTGTCAAACAATATTTGTTAGAGACATCCATAAATATAAATAATAATTTTTAAGATGTATATGTGTATAAGATATAACTCTATCGCAATTCTCCATCAACAAGAACAAAATGGCCCCCCCAAAAACTTAATTAAGAAAGCACTGAAGGAAGAAGGCAATTTGGATCGATCACACGACTAGGGGGCTGTATTTGAAAAAAATCATTCAAGCAGTACTTAATTGGAAGCTATTGTTTGTCAAAAAAAAAAAAATTTAGTCATAAATAGATGAAAACAACGAAAAGGTCCTTCCCACAGGGAAAGGTGGTTTGAAAAGACAAGAGGAAGCAAGCGAAGAATTGAGGGTCAGATTGCAACGTTTTTTTAATAAAGTCAAATCTTTAGTCTCCTTTTATATTAAAACTTAAATTCCAAATCATTAAGAACGTAACAAGTTAAAGTGCAAAACAACTGGCTTCAGGTGGAGTAAGTGTGATACTGAGCGCAAAACATTCTTAATCCACCACAAGAACATAAAACTAAAAGTCTGACCAATAATAACAAATTAATTTTGTCTAGATTTGGGTTTAAGGGTTGTTATTATCTTCGTTAGTGAGTTTATATGGTTTTCAGGTTGGTAATATCCAATGAATAATTTATCTAAAGCAAAAGGATGTGGTTTAATGACAAAGTTAACGACATTTTTCTTAGGTAACGTAAAATCCGCCGTAATAAAAGTATGATATTCCTTCATTCAAATAGTTCATCTTTAAAGAATATTGTCAATGTATTCATAGGGACCCCTTATGCGAGGTAAAAAAACAGTGCTTTGTTCTATGAGAAAGAAAAGATGCAGGACTCTAAGTTAATATGAAACGTTTTCTTAATATCATGAAACCCTTCGTGTAAGTCAATTATTCAACTAAGTTAACTATCATAATTGGAACTTAGCAGTTTTATAGCAAATTTCGTGAAGGATTTCTGAATTAAAGACGAGTTTTTAGTCATCGGGAGAATTACTTTTTCAATGATGACCGCCATTTTGGAAAAAAAAAGTCTTTCCTATTTTTATTGTGTAACTCTTTTTTGTAACTTTACTTTTGTCTTAATTTTGTCTTATTTTGAAAATAAATAGGGCTTCTGCAGGGCATAATACAGTCGAATCCTGTAAACGAACACCTGCTTACTAAAGATACCCTGCTATTACGGACATTTGTTTATTGTACTTTTAAGTCAACCCTCCTAATCCGGACAACCTGTTTATCCGGACACTTGTACTTGTCCACAAGGAGCCCTTTTTAACTAAGTTTCACTAAAATCCTCTTAACTGCAGCGAGATACAGAAAATAAAAGATATGACACAAACCCTTCTAATACGGACAACCTATTTATTCGGACACTTTTACT